TTGATGCTTTCTGCATCATTCAATAATTTACCCAGAGAATTTTTCAATAACTAAAGTCGAGGCTTGAATTTTTTTCTTCAGTTCCCTCAGCTGGAGAAATGCTGAGTTGTTCTTCCCTTTTGGTTTTCTAACTCCAGATCTTTGCACATTTCATTGTAATATTTGACTTTGTCTTCTCGAGCTGACCTTTGAAATTCTCTGTTCAGGTCTTGTATCTCTTTATTTCTTTCATTTGTTTTAGCATCTCTACCCTGGAGAGCAAGGAGCTCTGGTAGCGTAGTGGTTACAAATCAGGCTGCAAACCTCAGGATCAGCAGTTCGAAACTACCAGCTGTTCCGTGGGAGAAAGCCGAGGCCTTTTGCTCCTGTAAAGATTCACAGCCTCGGAAACCCTGTACAGGGTCGTTATTGAGTGGGAACCGACTCCACGGCACATAACAACAACAACAACAACCCTGGAGAGCAAGTTTCAGTGTATCTTCTGACATCCATTTTGATCTTTTTTCTTCTTTCTTGTCTTCTTAATGACTTTTTGCTTTATTCCTGTATGATATTCTTGATGTCATGTCCCAACTCTTCTGGTCTTCAGTCTTTAGTGTCTAATGTGTTGAATCTGTTCTTCAGATGATCTCTAAATTCAGGTGGGATATATTCAAGGTCATATTTTGTATCTCATGGACTTGTTTTCATTTTCTTCAGCTTTGATCTGAATTTGCATAGGAACAATTGATGGTCTGTTCCACAATCAGCCCCTGGCCATGTTTTAGCTGATGATATGGAGCTTTTCCACAGGTGTAGTCAATTTGATTTCTGTGTATTCCATCTGGTGAGGTCCATGTGTATAATCGTCTCTTATGCTATTTAAAAAAAAGGTATCTGAAATGAACAAATCATTGATTTTACAGATTTCTATCATGCGATCTCCAGCATAGCTGACATAGCTTCCAGAATCACAACTCACAAGTCACCACAGTACGACAAACGGACTAATCTGTCAAGGATTTCTGAGTTAAGATGAATAATACTACAACAGACACTACTTTACAGCTGTTTAACCTTTTTCTTTTCCTTATTAAGAAAATTCTCAATTTGGTTCAGATAGCTATCTATCTCTAACAAGGAGTGGGTTTTGACTTCCTTAAACCTATCAGTGAGGGAGGCCCAATCTGCTCTTAGGTCAGTGGTTTTGTTTAGGCATGAGCATCTGATGCAATTCCTTTAAACCAGATTCACCAATTGCCACACTTGATATCTTTCTTTTACAAACACACACACATACACATTTTGTTTTGAGGACTATTTTAAAGTAATGTATAGACCTCTTGACATTGAATCCTGAAATACTTCAGCACATATCTCCTTAAAATAAAGACATTTTCCTATATAGTAAAAATACAATGATTATTTATTTTTTAAAAATGAACAATTCTATAAAGTCATCATTACTTGGTCCAAATTCATAGTTCCACAATTGTCTTCAAAATGTCATTTATAACAGACCCTCTCCACCCTCAATCTACTATCCAAAGGTCAATTCACTGCATTTGGCAATTAGGTCCCTTTGGGCTCTTTTCAAGTAGAATAGTGCCCTCCCTCACCCACCACCATCTTGACACTGACTTTGTATTTCAAATTCTACACTGATCTGATACTTCCTTCGAGGTATTATTTAACTTGTTCTAGTAAATTCATTTGTTCATTTCAAATACCTTTTTAAAACAGCATAAGAGATGACTATACACATGGAACTCACCAGATGGAATACACAGAAATCAAATTGACCACATCTGTGGAAAGAGAAGGTGGAAAAGCTCTATATCATCAGTCAAAACAAGGCCAGGGGCAGATTGTGGATGAGACCATCAATTGCTGATATGTAAATTCAGACCAAAACTGAAGAAAAAGAAAATAAGTCCACGAGAGGCAAAATATGACCTTGAATATATCCCAGCTGAATTTAGAGATCATCTGAAGAACAGATTCAACACATCAGACACGAAAGACTGAAGACCAGAAGAGTTGTGGGATGACATCAAGAACATCATACATAAAGAAAGCAAAAAGTCACTAGGAAGACAAGAAAGAAGGAAAAGATCAAAATGGATGTCAGAAGAGACACTGACACTTGCTCTCCAGGGTAGATATGCTAAAGCAAATAGAAGAAATGAGGAGGGACAATACCAGAACAGAAAATTTCAAATACAGAAATTGTATTGCTAAAGCAAATAGAAGAAATGAAGAGATATAAGAGCTGAACAGAAAATTTCAAAGGTCAGCTCGAGAAGACAAAAGTCAAATATTACAATAAAATGTACAAAGATCTGGAATTAGAAAACCAAAAGGGAAGACACACTCAGCATTTCTCCAGCTGAGAGAACTTAGAGAAACTTCAAGCCTCGATTTTAGTTATTGAAAAATTCTCTCGGTAATTTATTGAATGATGCAGAAAGCATCAAAAGAAGATGGAAGGAATATACAGAGTCATTGTAGCAAAAGGTAATGGTTGAT